CACTTTTCTTACAAAATGTTGCTGTTGTGCTCCCCAACCAATATGTACTCTGAATTCCCCTTCCCCAAGCGCTCTACAGGGTCAAAACATGAGCACCCGGGAGTGCTTACATCGTGTTGCGGCGCATGACTCATGGCTCTTGTCGTATGAACATCTTGATACGGTGGCATCCGCAGCTTGCCGTTGTTGCCATGGCTGGTTGCATCATGCCACCCGGGGAGTGATTTAATGCCTGTCCGGTACGGTGCCGAGTGCGCACCGCTGGGCAGCTGGCGCGCGCGCAGCCTCGAGGGAAGAATTGGCATCTCCGCGGTACTTCTTCTCCGGCCATGCCATGACGTGTTCCATATAATAAGTCGGTGGCCTTGAGCCCCAATAGAACTGACCTGTTCGCTGTTGAAGACTTGTAGGCTGGTGGAGGAGCTCGCGGGCGGCGTTCGCCGTCAGGTGAGTAGAGCGCGAAAGAGGTAAAGAGGAAGAAGGAGCAACACAGGTATCCCACCCCTGCCACTGCCGGCGCTGACAGTGACAGGGGTGGGATATTCATGCTGGCAATGCCCATCGCTCGGCAAGTAAATCGGCAAGCAAGTCGGTCCCATTGGGGATCGAAGTCATGTACCTTTTTCAAGCACAATACCCTACATCGATGTGGCTATCTGATAGCTTCGTTTCAAAGAATAACCAAATGTGGAGCAACTTGGTATCGCGATGTCCTCCTGCAACGCTCAGCGGTAGGTTTTAGAGCAGATTTTGTGGTGGGCTTTTCTGTCGCTTTTCCCCATGCTGGTTGCGCTCCTGTGCTCTCCTTGCTGGGTTCGCCTCTGCGCGCGGCCGGTTGCCCGGCAACATGCACAAGAGAATATTTGCGTGCGGCGGGGCGCCGTGTCATAGAGTCCAGGCCGTGTGGGCAGGGGCCAGCTGACGCGGAGCAGCCGCCGCCAGACTGCGCTGCGATCAAACGCCGGGCGTGGCACGTGCATCTCCGCCCCCGCCCCCCCCCCCCCCATCCTAGCGGTGTTTCACGGCTTAATTCGTGCTTAGGTACGTCATTGTGGAATGTTACTGATCCGTCGGTACGTTTCTGAGTCGCCAACCGTTTTAAGTACAATAATCGATTATCCAAGCTGCGCAGGCTCCGAAATGGCACCAGTTAGGCTCAGTGTCTGTCTTGAGATGTAAACTGGGCGAACAATAGTTCTCCACGAATAGTTCAACCACTAGGTTGCAGGAGATGATCGCATTGCTCGCGGGCCTCAGCTTGGCAGCACGCGCTGAATCATTCGTTGAACGACAGTGCTTTGAACATCACATATTTGTGATTTTCAGTTTAGGACGCCGTCTTCAGGCCAGACAGCTGTTTGTGGTTTGCTATAATGAAGTCAAACACAGAGCATTGAATCACCTGGCATGATTTATCCGAGCAGTCCTATGCACCGCACCTATTGCCTCAACACTTCACATGAACCCGCAGCATGAATACGTTAGATGTCTGGTTTAGTTATTCCTTGCTGTCGTTTTTAGCGGTGTTAGATACACGTGACGAGTATTTTCAGGCCGCGAAGAATGTGCACTTTGGTTCAAGTGAGATCTCAGATGCGTTTAATATGGGCTATGTCTTAAGCGTGCCGCTCTTGCTGTAGTATGCAGCCGGCCTACTCCACCACTTTTCAAAGTTATCTCTTGTTATGTGACCACAACGGCTAACTCATCGTAGCGCTGAAAGTGGCCAGTGTCCAGCCAGCCTGGATCAGTGCATCCAGGCAGCTCACTAACCGCCTTTGCCGTTTCGCAAACAACCGGCCCCATCTAGGATTTGCTCGGGCGCGGAGCCATTTTCTCTCCTCTCTCC